CTGCAAATTAGGTAATTAATATGCACGGATTTTTACCAAAAAACTAATCAAATCTGCGCATATATTCAGAGCATCTATGCACCAAGTTTCATCAAAAACCGATGTATGGTTCTTGAGATAGCAGTGGAACAGTCGGACACACATACACACATACACACACACATGCACACATACAGACACACACACATACAGACACACTAACTGCAAAGACTCCCATTTTGTGCTTCGCACATGGGAGTCAAAAAGTAATATTTGAAAAATGTTGTGGTATGGCATCCTTCATAGATTTGCATGGTCAGCTCAATGTAAATGTGTTTTTATAAAGTGCTAATGTGATTGTAGAAATAGAAAGATGAAAAGAAACATCATCATCAACTGTGGCTGTGTTCTTCATTTAGAATATGGAAAATAGCAGTAGTATAGTTAGTATCTGTCAGTAAAGGAGACAACATACCTGCTAATCTAGTGAAAGCATCAAATCCATGTTTTAGAGATATGATATCTAGGAAAGACACAGTCCCATCTTCAAATCTGAAATAAATGAAAGTGATCTAATTGTTGATGCTGTCCTAATTTAATTGAAATAGGACACTAAAAGATACAGTTGATGATGCATCTCAGAGGCAGAGAGGCATCTCAGAGGCAGAGGGGCATCTCAGAGGCAGAGGGGCATCTCAGAGGCAGAGGGGCATCTCAGAGGCAGAGGGGCATCTCAGAGGCAGAGGGGCAAGACATAATATAGCACTATTAATATATACTTGGAGAGGTTGGCACAATAACAGCAAGATCTAGTGATAAATATGCTTGAATTTTAAAGAAAACTATTTACCAGTAATTTATTTGGGTAAATCATCCACCATTCATATACAAAATATCCAGCATTTGTACACAAATTAACCACCATTCATAAACAAATTATCCACTATTCATATACAAATTAACCACTATTTATAAACAAATTATCCACCATTCATATACAAATTATCTACCATTCATATACAAATTATCCAGCATTTGTACACAAATTATCTACTATTCATTTACAAATTATCCACCATTCATATACAAATTATCCACCATTCATATACAAATTATCCACCGTCGATATACAAATGATCCACCATTCATATACAAATTATCTACCATTCATATACAAATTATCCAGCATTTGTACGCGAATTATCTACTATTCATATACAAATAATCCATAATTTATAAACAAATTATCTACCATTCATATACAAATTATCCAGATTTGTACACAAATTATCTACCATTCATATACAAATTATCTACCATTCATATACAAATTATCACCATTCATATACAAATTATCTACCAATTGTACACAAATTATCTACCATTCATATACAAATTATCCACAATTTATAAACATTATCCACCATTCAATACAAATTATCCACCATTCATATACAAATTATCCACCATTCATATAGAAATTATCTACCATTCATATACAAATTATCCAGCATTTGTGTACAGAAATTATCTACCATTCATATACAAATTATCTAC